ATAGAAATCAAAAATTAACTGTCGATTTCTAGAATAAGAATTGAATAAAATCGATTTGAAGATCGAACACATGATACAAAATCGATTCAGGACTCAGATTTGAACACAATACTAATCGATTTTCAAGATGTATTGAAGCGAGGTCGAAAATTAAGAATACGTAAAGAAAAATCGAGAATATGAGGTACAAACAGTGACGCACAATATGATGAAGACACTATCAGTAAATATGGATTGATCACATGTGAATGAGTCATTGGGCTTTCAACGAGTTCTTATTGGATCAAATGAAATTGAAAGGGCTCAATTTTTCGTGAATAGTAACAGATAATAAATTTGGATCAATTTTGGCTCATAATCATTGAACAGTAACGTCGAAAACATTTGGAATTTGATTTTTATTTTTGAATTTGTGATCTAAGCAACAATAAATGGATCAATCAATGAGGTAAAAACGAATTTCGATCCATTGAGACAAACGATCAAATAATCAAGAACGCAACGCACAAATTAATGAGATTAAGAGAGATCATTGAGAGAGACTCACCAAAAATGCTCAAATTGTGACAAATTTAGCCAAACCGAGAATCGTTCTTCAAAAATCCATGTTGATCTTCGAAGACCCGCTCGGATACCAATTGATGAGAATTATGAACATTGGTTTGGCATGCTGAATTAAAGAACACACAATGAACACGGTGATTTGGGTGTTTAAGAGATGTATTGAATTATGTATGGTGTTACAAAAAGGGATCTAGATCTAGTCTACATAAATAACACACACTTACACACTCAATTTTACACCTCTCAAGCACACCTCCATAAGTGGTATGAACCCACCTTATATAGAGGTGTTTACATGTCTCTCTCTCACTCTCTATCTCTCATGTCACAAGGCTAAAGCACCACATGCAAGTGGGTCTACAAAAGTCAACCCATTTACAAAGTCATACATGGATAACTTTGTACCCAACAGTTACCCACACGCGCTCCACCGATCTATGATAAACATTAAGTTACCTTTTGCCACTCTTACTAGTCCATGTTAGTGTGTCGGTTACCCACACACGCTCCACCAACGACTTGGTAAGGTACAAAGTGTAATTTCATGGGTTAGCACCAATTTCATATTTTCCTAAAGTAGCTAAGATTGGGAAATTAATAAGGTTTAGTTACTTTATATTTATCATTACACTTTTAATGAGAATTATAGTCCTTCTCCTACCCGTTCGGCTAACGATCCTCCATCAGTCAAGGAAGCGGTGGGTGAGAGTGGACACCCATTAAACTGCCATTTTATAGGCAGTAACCTTATACCCCCCCTTATAGACCGGCTTCATGAATGAGGCCTACTAACGGTAAGACTGACTTACTCTTATATATATATATATATATATATATATATAATATATATATATATAGATATATATATATATATATATATATATTAAACCTATAATATTATAATAGTATAAGGGTTGAATTTTAAACTATTAAAATTCTAAGGGTTGGAACTAAAGTATACATGGGGGGTAACTTTACAAATTCCAAAACTTGAGGGAAAGTTTTGAACAATTCAAAAACTTTTGGTTTCCATAACCTATGAGTTTAAAGTAGTTTTAATTCTTCAAGTTCCATAACTTGAGGACAAGTTATGGAAGACTTTAAAATATTTTAAAAATGAGACTCTTCATTTTCATAACTTATGGAAATCTTATGAGTCTTAAAAATCATAAATGAGACTTTTCATATAACTTGAGGACAAGTTACAAAAACACATATTATGAACAACTTTTAGATCAATTTGGATCGAAAATAAATTATCACATAATTTTTCTATTAATCTAAACTAACTCATAAGAACAAGATAATTCAAATCATCAATCTTCAAGAAATTAGCATGAACATATAACCTAATACAAATCTTGAAATTATGACAATTATCTTTGAAATTAGATTAGCATGAACATTACCACATCAAAGCAAGTTTATCAGTTCAAAAACAGCTTAGGGTAATGTTCCTAGTCCAATTCCAGCCAAAAAACTCGAAAATCTGTTGTCAGGGGATCCAACTCGCCGACTGCAACAACAAACTCGACGAGTTGGATGAGTTTGTACATGGACTCGTCGAGTCCCCTGTCCAGACAGCAAAAAAACTTCGATTTTCAGCCATTTGCATCAAGTATAATTGAAAACAAGCATTGACTCTGATACCACTGATGGGTTTTTGTATACTACATCATCCTATGGTGCACATACAACCCTATAAACCTTGGATCTATGTTTACTCTATAATACATGCAAATATTCAATATTCCAAGGTTTCATCCTAGCTAGCATAATATGAAGTATACACAATACAAGAATCTAGTAAAATGACATACCTCTTTGTTGTAGCTTGATTCCATGGAGCTTAAGAGCCTAGTGCCCCAAATATGACACCTCAAATGGTTCACACAACACCACCAACAACTTGGAATAACTTGAGAGAAAAGTTCTTATGCTTAAAATCCGCTAGCCCTCTCATGTGAATATTTTGTTTTTTTTTTTTTTGATTTCTTGAGCTATGGGGTCTTTATATATTGTGGCTATTAGGGTTACACCATGTAACTCATGACTTTCCATATTCCTCATGATCAATGGGTTTTTAACCTCCATGGAGTACCCATGGGTTTGATGGGTTTTGAGCATTCTAACACTCCTATGGTGTACATGCAACCCTAGAAACCTTGGATCTATGTTTTCTCTAATATTCATGCAAGTTTGAATTTTCCAAGGTTCTCATCCTAACTAGCATGGCATGCGGTACTTGTAATATAAAACTAGTAGAATGACATACCTTTCTAGTAGCTTGGATTCCTTAAGACCTTGTGAGCCTAGCACCCCAAATGTGATGCCTCAAATCTTTCACACAACACCACAACTCTTGGAATAACTTGAGAGAAGAACACTTTCACTCAAAATCGGCTAGCCCTCTTGTTCTTGTCTTAGTGGCCGATTTTGCTTACCATGAGGTTCTTTATATAGTGTGTCACATGTAGGGTTACACCATGTAAACCCTAATGTGCATGGCTTTTCATTTCCCCCATGATCCATGGGTTTTAACCTCCATGGAGCACCCAATGGGTCCTAGCCCAATCTGGTGAATCATGGACCATAAGCCCACTATATAAGAATGAATTATTTACAAATCAATCACCATATATTTAATTAGTCTCTTTTTTTATCACAAAATTAATTCCAAATTAATTGTTGATGAATACTAATTAAATACTACGATTTCATATTAATATATTAGAACTTATAATATATTAACAGACCATAAGTGTCCTTATTCTCATTTTGTCTATCCAATTGTTATGATGCCATGCAACCCAAATGGACCATGCCAAATCGGGTCAAGTACATACTAAATATAGTTATGGACTTAGACACCTTATCCAACAGTCTCCACTTGGATAAGTCTAATAACCATAGGTATGACTTCAAGAACCGACCAACAATCGTAGCTCTTTCAAAGTCTCCTGGAACTAAGATGATGCGCCATTTAAGATAAGTGATCATATAATCATCTGTTCTATATATCAGCCGGAGAAATACATGGAACAATGTCGTACTTATTGTCCAGCAGTTTGTTTCCCGATTTCCGATTTGTTTGACATAGAACTAAACTGAACACATCAATTTAGTACTGACCGGGCCCGGTATATAGGTCAAAACAAAACCTTCGAGGGGCTCAGATATCGCTTCTAATCCTCCAAGGACTAAAAGGAATAGATAAACTTCGACTCATATCTCTAGGTTTGAAGACTTATATGATATTACCGTCTCAAGATCACTCGAGATAAATTCCACGAAGTGATACAAGTGAGCATGGGTTGAATCCAATACTTAGAACTTATGAGTACTCATGAATGTTGTAGCATCTTTTGCTATGTCTAATATCTTAGACATCTACAAGCCCAAGTCATGACAGTATTGATTCATACCTACTTCCAACATGTGACTGACTGCGGAGAGTTTGAATAATCTAGTTATTCGGGAAGTCAAAACATGCAAAGTAAAACACAAGAATAATATTAATCCTATATGGCCCCAAGCACCTTTGAGAGTAAATAAAACACCTTTTATTTAAACACCATATTGATTACACATTATTCATTGTATAATGTTACGATTCATCAACCTAATACTTGAATTAAAACAATAGTCATGCCATGCTCCAAGCATGCACACTATGTTTGTCCAAACAATAGTTATGCCATACTCCAAGTATGCACACTACGTTTGTCTATGATCCTTACTTTGTGAAATAGACCAATTGAACATGATTCCAATGATGCTCATTTCACAATCCAAATCCTTATCGTAAATGTAAGAATTCCAAATTCCTACCATTTACCGAAATCTGTTAGATTCTAAACTTATATGCATTGATCCTCTTGTAGTGACTATGCACAAAGTCACACAGACTTGTCAACATACATTAAAGAGTATTCCAATGGAGATCACACTACTAGAAAAACAGCCTTTTACGACGCGCAATGCGTGTCGTAAAACGCTCAGATGATGCGCAAATGCGCGTCAAGGAAGGCCCTGTCATAACGAGAGACAACACGCTTTTGCGCGTCATAACCTTACGATGCGCATTTACGACGCGCGTTTACGACACCCATTGCGTGTCAAGGAAGGCCCTGTCATAAAGAAGATGACACGCATTCGTGTGTCGTAAAACGATGCACATTTACGACTTGCATTGCGTATCACTAAAGCTCATGTCATAAAGAAAGACGACACACATTTTTGCGTGTCATAAAGTTTAAATGTTTTAAAAAATATATATATGTTTTTTGTAAATTTACTAATTTTCAAATTACAACACACATTTAATGTCTCATAATATAAAATAAAATTGCATACACAAAAAATAAAATAAATCGCACAAATTATAATATGTCATACAAATAATCATTCAAAGGTTAAACAAAAACAATACATTGCTAACATGGGTTATACATTACTATAAAACTAACAACCCTCAGTGACCTTGATCTAGATCGAGGTCGACTTGGATCGATGGCGACGATTGAACTGCAAAAAATATATAGATCAAATTGCTTAACAAGTGATAAGTAAACAAATCCATTAGGATTTAAATCAATTGTACTTACTTTGATCTTAAAACTTCGGGAACTAGAAGACCAAATTGCTTAACAAAATCAGCAAAAGCCTTGTTGGTAGGGTACCCTGCACAGCTTATACGAATTGCTTCTAGAACCCCCTTCATGAAGAGTAAACAAAAGAAACTTCAAATATGATTTAGGAATCTTTATAAAAGTCCAAACATCATTATATGCAGTCTACTCACCCCACAACATAATTGATGAAGAATGTTACATTATCAAACAATACATTTTCATTTTGAAGATTCCCAGAGATCCCATTTTCATTCATTGAAAGCATCAATTCCAAATACATAGCCTGCATTTTGGGAGCATGTTGTTTTAAATAAGAATTGACCAAATCTGCAGGGATGTTTCCGGTCAAAAACAGGTCAATGGTTTGACTTGGACAGCTTTCAAGAACATGCATTGAGAATTCCAGAACAAGCATAGGGTCGGGCCATGGTGAAAGCCACAAATCTACTTGTTTCAGACCAATCTGGTGTTTCAGGGGCATGTCCATGCCACTGTAGCCTTTCAGCTGTAGGAAAATCATTTAAGCCAAGCGCCTCACATTCATTGTTAAAAAGACCATTAATTTTAGGAATGTGAATTTAGTGATGATGTACATAAATTGAAAATAAAAAATATTTATGTGATGGACTTACTGGCGGAAGTTGGTTACTAGACGGCAAAATCTGAAAAAATCTGATGACGACTCTTCTTTCTTATCCCACTGGAAGTAGTTCATCTAGGGACAAAACGGGTAATTTTAGCTCAAAAATACATATGCTTCTTCTGTTTAAAAAAGGAAAAGCAAAGAGTATATCATCACATAGTTATCATGGCAATACGTGTTGTTGTTTCCCCCTTTTGTGTGACCATATTCATCCCCCATATGTATCATCGGTACACCCTGCAAAAGGGATAAAGTCGTAAAATAGCAATGTACTTTTGATTTGTCCCTTTTAAGTAACTTACTTGTGAAACCATTAGACAAAGGAAGAAGTTTCTCATTTGTCGTTTCCTCAATCTCTTCACTGATATGCTTACAAACTCCCCCTCCTAAATCAGGCATACACATACACGCATAATATGACAGTTGTTAAAAATTATGCAGCCATTTTTTTTCATTCTCATATAAATAAATAAAAAAATAAAAGAGATGATATAGGAACAAAATTACCTTCCCGCAATTCCAACTGTTATTGTGACTTTCTCCATCTTTGTTGTCTTCACCATTTGCAAGGTTATGTTTGTCATTGTACATAACTAAGTCAGCCAGTGTAAAGCCATCATGTGCACATATGAAGTTTATACTATTCCATGGGTTTCTACCACCTTCCTGATGCATACATATAACATGAAAAAGTGATTAAAAAAATAACAATATCCAATAAGAATGATAAAAAGAAGATAATAAACAGATTAGGGTACCTGATATAGATTAGAGCTCCCACAAAGGCATTCAGCAAAAGCACCAGAAAATCCATCTGTACCCTTAATGAACTGCCTTACTGTATCCCGATATTACATTCTTTTTATAGGCTAATAAGTTTTATAAATTATTGAAAAGAAATAACACTTATTTAAGAAAATAAATGAGCCAAAAAATAGACCTTTCCATTCCATTCTGACCAAATACCCCAGTGAGGAAACACACCGACTTGGTAAAGGCCTCCACAGTCCCATGCTTCAGCTATAAGCTGGAAAGGATAATTTCTATTTATTTAAAAAGTTAAAATTAATAATTTAAAAGATGAGTTTAATTGATAATCAATTTAATTACCTTCACTCCTCGAAGTATTGGGTCATTGCTAATCATGTCAATTAATGGTGGGTTGGTGAGAGGTGAGCCAGTTGTCAGTAAATCATCTTCTACTTGATTTCCATATACATTTACTGCATCAAAAAGGCTGAAAGAAAAAAGATAATAAAAGTACAAATGAATGTTGTTTTTTTTCAAACATTGTTAAGATAAGAATCAGAATATCAGATATTTGGTAGACTAGATAACTGATAACCTGCTGCCTCTTGTCATGATAGAGGCAAGATCAAACCGAAATCCATCTACATGCATCTCTGTTACCCAATATCTGTAGGAAGGTTTCATAAAATAAAACTTAATTAACCAAGAATCAGGAACACATGTATGATTGTAAATTACAATTTTAGTCCCTGAGTTTAGCACTCTTTTTCAGTTTTGGTCCCTAAAGGGATCTGTTAGCAATTTTGGTCCTTATTTTGATGTTCATAATGATTTTGGCCTCGGCTATGAACCCCATTCAATTTGAATTTATAATTGTATCTTTACTGCTTGTTGTCAAGATATAACGTTGTTAACAATATAACATATATTTTAAAATAGCAAGTTATATTAACATATAAACAATTCAAAATTGCTATATTAACAAATTAATTCAATATACAGTATAGACCAAAAACTTTTATAAATCATATGCACAGATAAAATGTTATAAACCTTACTATAAGTATAAACTAACAAAAAACTACAAATTTGCAGTTTTGGTCCAAGGGCAAGATGGTCAGTTGAAAAAATATCAACAGCTGGGTGTTAGATTAAATGCTCCAGATATCAAAATCGTTATGAAACAATAAAATAAGGGAAATGTCTTCCAAACAAATTCCTTTAGGGACCAAAATTAAGTAAGTGTTAAACTCAGGGTGCAAAATTGTAATTTACTCTTAAAATAAAAACAGAAAACAGGGGATAGGTAAGTAGCAACTTATATACCTCAAGGAATCTACTATGGATTGGCGCACAATAGGATGGTTGCAGTTGAAGGTGTTTCCACATCCTGAAATGGGTTTTGGTTGGATGGAATTAAACGATGAAGAAATGCAATAAACAGGGACACGGTAATGGAATAAGCAAGATAATGGAATTATGCAATGTAATCAACAATTCCAATACCTTTGTCATCATATTCAATCCAACCAAAATAGACCCTTAGTGTACCATAAGTATTAAGAAAGATTGCATCACTTACCTTGAGCCCCTACATTTTGTGGAAGGTGTTATAGGTGAAGTTTCATCTTCCAACTCTTCCTTTGGCAGAAGCAGCAGCATGCCATTATTTACAGGTTCCTTCCTGTTGACTTCTGCATAGTCAACCAAATTATCAACATATGCTTTCTCTATTGCTTCATTCAAAGCCATTTCTTCTCTTTTCACACAGAAGTAACAAACATATGTCCACTTGTTAGAAAGCCAGTTACATGTTTGTATAATTAAGCCGACCAAATAACTTCCTTGTCTTTCAAGATTCGAGTTGACTCAGAATATGGTAACATAAAGCCTTCCATCTGCAAGAGCCAAGAAGTAAAGATTACTTATTTCAACGTCAAACTCAATGCAAATTTATATATATTCCCAACCACATTCAGCTTTATAAAGATCAATACTGATAAAACTATATCGGTGTTAAAATTCAAAACAGAAGATTTTTTTCATCTCCACTTGAAAAGTACTAGATTGGAAGTAACATCACATCCTATGTTACTTTCATCTCCACTTGAAGAGTACTATATTGGAAGCTTTTTACAGGTTCCTTCTTATTATACAAACCATGAGCATGGTTCCAGATAGGTATTGGGGCAATGCAAACCTGAGAGCAGATTCCAATGGCACTTGATGAACCAAACAGAGCAGTTTAATAACTGCTAAAATTAAATAATAAATAACTATTGAATAGAAAGAAAAAAATTGAAACTTTCAAGTTTGGACTTAAACCATCTATCTGCTCAAAGACTTTGCAGATTTCACTTGATTGTTAAAAGAAGTAAGAGTTGCCAATAATTTTACACCATCTGTCTGCTCAAAGACTTTGCAGATTTCAATTGACGGTGTGCCATGATTACACATCATTTACTATCATATATAAATTAAGTGAGTTGGTAACTTATTCACAAAAAGTATTTGTAATGATGTAACCTATTGAAATTCAACAAAAGAATCAAGATTTAAACCTGTGTAAACGCAGAAGAGTCGTAATCATGATTCAGAACCAATGAGGAGTATTAAATGAGAGATTTATCTGCTTAGATAATTAAATGAGAAACTAAAAATATAATTCAATAATCAACAAAGAAAAGAAGAATCGTATGTTAGCTACAACAGTTCTAAAAGTATTTGATCGATATCTTCATTATAACAGTTAACTTGATTAAGATAGACAAGTAAAAAAGGAGAAGCCAAGACCAGGAAAACAAATTTCAAGAAGAAAATTAATTGTCACCATCAATTATTCAAATTTGAACTAAAGCAAAAAGATACTAAAATAAGTGGCTCTTGTGACTGTTACAATATTACAAATACAAAAGTTCCATAATTCATTCACTGCAAATATTGAAACAAAGAAAAAAACGTTTGCCCTAGTACAAATAGCAGTGCACAGAAGATGACCAATCCCTCTCAATCCTTTCACTATTGTATATACACCAAAAGAACTTTCAAAGACATACACATACGTAAAACCTAATTGAAGAAAAAAACAACAAACCAGTGACATAAATCAAGAACAATCAAAGTCGAACTCACCTATCTGAGCAGCAAGTGCATAGCGAAGGGCTTCTGCCATGAAAGAATCATACAAATCTCACACTAGAACTAACTAGAGAAACCTTTTTCATATATATATATATATATATATATATATATATATATATATATATATATATATATATATATGCATCTGATTTAGGTAAAACCTACACTGGAAAGAAAAAGAGGTCATCGTGATCAAGATCTTGTACTTTTTTTGGGGGAAACTTAGAACTGTAAACTGAAAAGTAGTAGAAAAGTTATATAGGGGCGAAGAGGAAGGAGATGAGAAACGCGAGGCCACAGAAACAGATAGACAAAAGTGAGAGAAAAGAATTGATGATGAAAGAGCCTTAGAAGGATTAGAAGCGAATCTAAGGGTTTGAACCCAACCATCTTTGCATCTTCATTCCCCACAACCACCGTCTGGCGTCTTCCTTCATTGGAGCCACCGTCTCCGCCTCTTCCTTTCCTCAAGCCAACATCTCAAACCTTTCTCTAGCAATTTGATTCTTGAGAGAGAGAGAGAGAGAGAGCAATCACGCCGACAACTGTTGTTTGCTGTGAAGGACCTGAATACCATACACATTAGAGTACCCACATATACAAACACAACCAACTAATTGTGGAGGGTGGCGGCATAGAAACACGCCGACAGCCTAGGCTGCCGACCATGGCGGTAGGTGGTGCTTGGCGGGGAAAACAGAAAAGAAGGAGAAGAAAATAATAGGAATCGATACCTTAGGCTGGAGAAAAGTTTGTCTCAAATTCCTCTTCCCCCTCTTCCCTCGACGATGACTCAAAAATCCGACAGCCCCACACAAAAACCTTGAACAATTCCTTCTCTAGCCGCCAAGAAGAACGAACAGAAGATTAGGGTTGTTTTGCGATGCTAATGGTTTGGTTAGAGGGGATGTATTAACTAAATATGAGCAATCGTCCCTAACAGAAGGTCCCAAGGGGACCCTGATGTCAAAAGAAGGCTTTCATCCCAAGGGTACCTGATGTCAAAACGTGGCCGCCAATTAGGGTTTTTTTTCATGTGGAGGATGTAGTTGGAGGTTTTCATGCAGAGAAACCCGAGTTGTGTTGGATGAAGGACTAGGGTTGGAGGCACTGGAGGTGGGTGAAGATGAAGTCGATCCCTAGGGCTTATTTCTTGCTAATTCAAAGATTAGTGTCGATGGCTGAGAAAGGATCGAACAGGCGGGGGTTTTGATTTTTATGGATTCCATTTCCCCCCTTAGCTATTAAAAGCATGTTTCATTAAAATTATAAAGCGACAGGCACAGACGACGCACGTTTAAGATAAAGCACCCTCCGTGTTTTTAATTTTTTTTTTCTTGAGACACTAATTTAAGGGCACTCAATAATGCGTGACGTAAATCCTTAAAATATTTGAAGAGATGATATTATTTTAAGGACACTCTCTTTTGCGTAACATAAATCAGTGTGTATCGTAAATTGCGTGTCATTAAAGGCATATATTCTAGTAGTCAATTCCATGGAAATGAAGTCTCAAATTCAAAGTACATTCCTTTGAACATCCTTCCTGCTTTAAGTTTTTCTAATCTTACACAAATTTCATGAATAACTTCCACCTATAGAAACATTTCCATATTCCATTTTGACTATCACTTCTGAACTAGAGTTGCCTCCTTTCAGAATATGTCAATATGGTCCTTTCAAAATTAACACTATACTTCCAACTGTCCATGAGCAACCAATCTTTGGTAAACCTCAGATTGTCCTTGACAATTGCTTAATCATTTGTCATATCCAATTCTAGTACTTTTTCCCTCTTAATGCCCTAGGCATGGTGGAAGATTTAGAACGGATGAATATTATAGCACATGTAATCGATCATATACCCGAAGCATATGGGACACGATTCATGATGTCTCACATAAAGACATGATCCTAGACCAGCCTTTTGCTACAATATTTTTTAATTTTATTTTATTTGCCATGTTTTCATAATTCGACTATGAAGAGGGATGTCGTAATCATAATCGAATTTTCAGAACGCAATATATATATAGAATTTCCTTATGTTGAACCATTCCAACATAAAATTCATATATAATATATAATATATATATATATAATATATATATATATATTATATATATATTATATATATATATATATATATATATATATATAATATATATTATATATATCCTTGACTAATATTATTAAACTCTCAATCTAAGCTTTTAGAATTGAAATGAAGTATAATTTCCTCTCCCTTAATTATAGCAAAACAACTTTTCCCAATTGAAACCTTCTGTTTTCTATAATTAACATTGCTAACTTGCAACACTTATCATAATTGATTATGCTCCCACTAGCATAATAATTACTATTAGCATAACACTTATGCTCCCACTAGCTTTGAAATGTATCCAAAAATCAGCTGCACTTCTAGAAATCAATACTTTATTGACTTTCTTACAAAAGTTCAGATTTCTGATACGAGATTCTTTGATAAGACTTTATCAAGATCATACACCTTTCCTTAGATAGCTCACATGTGTGTCTAAACAATTTTTAGAACTATGAAAAGGGATGTCGTAATCATAGTCTCAATTCTTTAGACCTTTGCCATTTCTCACAAGTCCATGTTAGTGTGTCGGTTAACCACACACGCTCCACTAACGACTTTGAGAATGCAAATATCACAATTGCGGTCTACTTAAAATCTACTTAGTGAAAGCGTTTCCTCACCATCATTTTCATGAATCGGAGAGAAACCTAATGACACTTAGATTTTATGGTGTATGTGTTCCTATCCATGTGAATTTGTCAAAACCATAATCACAAGACAATGGTTGTTACATATTCAAACTCATATGGACTGAACTTGTTTAATCTTAATTTCTTGCCACCTGGCAGCCCAAGGGCCTACCATCGCTTCCAGGTTGTTATGCAACCAATTGAGAACTCTGCAAAGTCCACTTTATCTAGAATGGGCATAGAAACAAGAATATGTCAACACGATAGGCTATAAACCTCAACTCGTGTGCTAGTGATAAACTACAGGTTTTATTCTTGATTAGTTCTTGAAACTCTTTCAGGATCTTTTAGACTCCCACTGTCCTCTTGAAATATAAGACTCTCTTGCCAAGAACCATTCCTTGACAAACAAATATTCAAGAGATAATGCGTATTCTTATCAAGACAAACACTTCACACAATTGGCCTTAGTTTATTTAATCCAAAACATCACAACTTACCAATCTCAAATGTACAAGAGTAGGGTACATTTTACTCTACATTTGACAAGTGTTATAAACCTTCTTTAAGATATGTCACTCAATTTACAATCTTGGAGTATGACTCTAAGACTTGTTTTGGAACAAAGTATGACTCATCTTCTTGATTTAACCATTTCAATAATTCATGACTCCTCTTCTTAGCCATAAGAATGCTCTAAGATGTCCTTAGAGGATCAATTGTGATATTCATTAAGATGATCATAAAACATGATACTAAAGAACTCTCCCATCTTTTCAGATTTGAGAAACTTTTATCTTTCTACCTAATTTCATTCTTCTCATTCATTCTGCCATACATTGAAACTTTTCCAACGTTTCAGAATATAACTTTAGTAA